TTGAATGTTTGTTTTTAGATGTTTCACCTAGCTATCCTCCAAATATCGGCCTTTTATATTAAAAAATTTCGACCAGTAGTAAACTGATCTAGAGATGGATGGACTTGGTTCAATGGAGATATTATACTGTAATCTGTTCTAAACTAATAAACCACATACTGGTAAATTTTAAAAAAATTGATGCATTGAATAGCATCATTCAACTGCCATTAGACCTGCCTATTAAATTTGTATTCAATATATCAAATGATAAGTTATTCAACTTATATTCGATATATCAAATAATATGTCATGTGGCTTCTGTAGCTTCACAGACATCGATGTCTATGAAGCCACAGTAGCTATTTGATATATCGAATATAAGTTGAATGACTTATCATTTGACATATTGAATACAGATCTAATAGGCAGGTCTAATGGCAGTTAAATAATGCTATTTAACATATCAAATTTTTTAAAATTTAACAGTGATAGTTAGCTTTTAGTTTTAAGACCAAACTGGCTAGGACTAGCTTGAACCAGTTAATTCTTTAAAATTATGAACTATTAAAAGTAAACTAAAACTGAACTAGTAAGACTGTTAGGATCCCACAGTTTAATCTGCTCTGGTCTATGATAAAACCAGTTCATTAATATTTGCAAACTAGTATATTCAGACTCAAACTAGTTTGCAAACTTTAGACTGAACCAGACTGAACCTGGACCAAACTCAAATTGAGTTTGAGTTTGGTTTGAAAGTAAAATTTAGAGTTTGAGTCTGGTTCAATCCCAGACCAGACCGGACTTGAACCGAACCCGAACTAGATCTAGGAGTACTAGTGTGTGTGTTAATCACTTACCTGCTACATTTTTGGTAGTGACTATAAGATCTGTATACTTATTGAAGGTTTCAAGCCATAGAAGTCATAGAACTAAAATTGCTAAATACTGTTTAGAATATAAAAAAAAAAAGAGCAAAACAAAAAAAAAAACAAAAAAAAAATAAAACTCTAAATTGAAGTCTTACTGATAGCATTTGAAGTGTTAATTCTTCCAGAAAAGAGAATGAAAACTGCGAACAAAGACAAGAGACACCAAGAAACAAATCAAGTATCATCAAGTAGAAAAAAAAAGAAAACAAATAAGTGTTAGTATGAAATAGAAAAAAAAAATATATATATATAATATATATATAATAATATATATATATGATAATACTTACCAGACACAACTTGTATATATTAACAAAAAAAAAAGAAAAAGACCTCTTCTTTGTTCTAATAAACTATATTTAAGCAATTATGTAATAATATAGTTAAAAGTAATCAGCAACAATAGAAGTTAGCTTATTATAGTATTATTGAAGCACCCAATTTCAAGACCTATATCAATTTTGTTAAATAAACAATAAATTCTGATTTTTAATTCTTTTTTACTTAAAGACAACAATTACTAATCAATCAAAAAAAAAGAAGAAAAAGTATAAATACAAACTTTATGAAATTTAGGAGAACTGCTAACTCAAGAACTATTCCCAATAATATTAGGACCCTAAGCTATATATAAATAAGTAACAATTTGCTTTTGCTTATTTTTGACTATTTTTTTGTAGATTTTTACTATATTTAGTAATATTAATACTTATTTTTAACTATTTTTCTGTAGATTTTTTCTATTTTTAGTAATATATTAAGATTTTTTAAAATTGTTAGCTGTTTATAAATTGCTCAGGGTTCTACTATATTGCAGAAGATGATCTGCTAATCTTAAGCCAAAAACATCCTACCAATAATTGACGTATAGTAGCAAATAACTGTTTATCTGTTGGAAACAATTGGGCTAACTATGAAGAACCAGCCAGAAATTAAGAACTAGACCTCCTCTATCTAGTTTTACAAGAAATCACTACTGTCTTCAGAAAAGCAACTATTGAAGTTGCTGCTACCACCAGACTACCAGCTCAGAAAACTAACTTAGTCTAAGTAGATATGTTCAATGGAAAAGAACTTTAGAATGAGTAGAAGCCTTTGACTATGCTGTTGATGCTAATAATTAGTCTTCCAGTTGTAAAATTAAAATTACTTTTAGATATTTGCAAGTAATTGCTGCAAGCTAGTATGATAGAATAAAGGACGATTTGATATACTGAATTAAGAAAGTTGTCTAATGATACTTTCGTCTACTCATTTGTTTAATATTTTGTCACTTCCAAAAAATAATACAAGTAGCAAGTTGATCTTAATATACTGAAGCAATAGCCAAACGAATGAGTAGAGCTATAAATATTCAAGTTTAAAAAACTATTGTGAAAGGTAGATTCCAGAAATTAGCTATCCTGTCATATGCTGTGTGAATGTTTCTAGAAGATCTCAAAGCTAAGATAGCCACCAGGTTGAGTATTGCCAAATCTAAAAATCTGAACCTTGTGATTCAAAGTATCCATAAAATTAAAGCAGGAGAGTATTATGATACAAAAGGTAAAAACGTTAGAACCTAAAATAAAGAAATTATATGATTGTTCTAGCAAATACAAATATTAACTACCAGTTATGAGAAATTAACAAGTGCAATAGCTATCTATGTCAAAACAAGACCTTAGTCAAATAATTATAATAACTGTACCTATATGACCTGTTACAAGTGTGGAGAATCTAAGCATACCTTATACAACTATATGTTGAAAAGAATCTTAAGTTAAAACTAGGCCTTAGCTCAAGTATCTCCAGCATCTCAAGCCCTGAATCAAATTTATATGAATTATGTTGTGCAGCCTATTTAGACTCTTTTCTAGCCTAGAGATGCAAACTACATAAGTGTGTTTGATGAACAAAAAGAATACACCACCAATCGTAAAGTTTTCATTGTATTTATTACTTATTACCAGACTTACACTATCCAAAGATAAAAACATTATAGAAAAATTATGCTTAAACCTGCTGATAAGAAACTTTGAACCAGCCAGCCTTCTGAAGTAGTACTAATTATAGCCTCAATGAATAGAAACTCACTGTCAGCAATAGCTACACCAGTAATATCTGCACTAGTAATGTCTACCTTGATAATGCCAGCTTTGGAACGATAATTTTATGCTGCAATAAATCACCAATTATGCATGCAATAAAAGTAAATTATGCATTTTTAATGCACATAAATTTTTTGTATTTATGCCATATTCTGCGCTAAAAAGTTTAAAATTATGCACAATTATATTGCAGTATTAGTGCATTTTGCAAAAAAAATATATTAAATTTTAATACATACATACGTAAGTTTTAATTGGTCAAAGTGTATTAATAAATAAATAAGGCAGTATAAAATGCTATGAAAATAAATATTTTAATAGAAAAAACTATTGTTATTGTTAGGATCCTCATTACTAATACATTAGCTTTTTTTTTTATACATTTGCAAATTTGGCAATAACATTTAATAAACTACTTAGAATCGATAAAAGCTATACAAGCATTTTATTTTAAACTATCATAGCAATTAATTGTTAGCAAATTATAGCAAGAGCGATGCTTGTGCAAATCTCAATATCATTCTTATTCTTATTATTGATTTTTATTTAATAATACTTTTGCTCTATTTTGATTACTAGGAAGTCTCATCTAAGTTATACCAGTAAATTTTAAAAAATTTGACATATTGAATAGCAACATTCAACTGCCATTAGACTTATATTTGATATATTGAATGATAAGTCATTCAATTAGTCATTCAACTTATATTTAATATATCAAATAATAGCTACAAAAGCTATATGATATATTATTTGATATATTGAATGTAAGTTAAATGACTGATTGAATGACTTATTATTCAACATATCAAATGTAAGTCTAATAGCAGTTGAATATTGCTATTCAATACATTGAATTTTTTAAAATTTACCAGTGTTAATATTTAAAAATGCTTCTACAATATTGTTTCTCTATTCTATATAAATAAAATTAACTACATATTTTTATATTTTATAGATAATAGATATATATAAAGTGTGTATATTATAGCAATAATTAGTAAATACAAGATTGTATCAAATACTTTTTGTTCAAGAAAGCAATAAAAATTTTTTAGCCATTCTCAAGCATCTCTTTGA